CTACATTTCGTGTTACTGCGGCATACTGACAAACTTGTTATCTTATCAGACATCAACGAATGCGATTCAAATAAATACATCTGTGGCTATACTGGTATATGTATGAACACCATTGGAGGTTATTCCTGCGAATGCCCTCCTGGCGAGATGATGATGAACTCTCGTTGCGTTGGTAAGTTTCATGCTTAGTATATAGGCTAAGAAACATCATTTGCACACATGGTTAGCACATGGCATTTCAATGCTACGTAGAACATAAATATCGAGGTTTTTGTAGATGAAATCTTCGGGCGGAAAGTTATATAATGTTCTCTGTTCAGTGGTTAATTGAACCACGTTCAATGGACGTTCTTATTGTCTCACTAAGACGAAGATTGACGAGTTGTGCTGATTTTAGATCATTTAACATTCAATTTTAATTCCCTCTTGGGAATTGTCTATGCTTAGTTTTCCATTCAATTCCCAACGGTGGAAGAATATGATTTCGACCGGCAATTTTTATTTGACGAGTATGTGGCCATTTCTCATCGTTATGATTTAAAAAAGGTATCATAGAAAAGCTAAATAACAGCTCTTTCGTCCTATGTAAAAATTGAATTGTTTAGCTAAGTTTATGATGCACGACAGCCTGTTGAATTTCCATAGCGTTTTTTTTTAGACACCCATGGCATACAGAGGGTACCCTTGTAATATTCCCCCCCTACACTCCCTCTGACCAGGGCTAGGGGGTGGTTGAGGCTAGCGTGTTAGAATAAGGTCTATGTATGTATGTATGTGTGTATATATATATATATGTATGCAACACCTGTCTATGTCAAATTTTACATTTTTAGATATGCGCCAGAAAGAGTGTTTCAAAGACCAGCAAGACCTAACAAACATCGAAAGTAGTACCCCGGGTTCCTCCTGTAATGAAAGCCTGAGCAGTCGTCCAATCACACGCGTTGAATGTTGTTGTAGTAAAGGAACGGCGTATGGTCACCCTGACATGTGTAATCTCTGTCCTATACCCCTAACAGGTAAATCATCTTTATAGCCTACCAGAGGATGAAACACTGAGAAAAAAAGTGAAATCCATACTACGAAATTTGCAATTGCACCACTAAATCCATAGTATATCCATCCTATTTCCATACTATATATGCATAGTATGGAAATATACAATTATTATGGATAACCAAAATCCAATAAAGGTAGATCCATACAATTTCCATTCTATGACCTTCTATCGATTTTCAAAATTTTTTCCAGTGAAATTTAAAAATTTTTAATCGCCCAAGTGGCTAGCAGTGAGCTGTTTTAAAACAGGGTCATGCGATGGAATAGGTATTTTGCTACAATCATAATGTGATACTTTGCTGTATCGCAAGCTTAGCATTGTTTGGCGTGCTGCTTTTGTTCGCTGTCAGAATCTCAATTATTTAAGGGGCTGGATGTTAATTTTCCACCCTTTTATTTTCTTTAGAACGCAATAGAATGTATCTAATAGATATGTATAATGGACTGCTGATGTTGCCTAGACCAAACACTAGTTTTTTGAAACGTAGTTTTAGTTACGTGGCATCCAGGGCCTGGAATCAATTAGTCAAATATAAGGCGAATAGCTATGATATTGTTATTGGAAATAGAAGTTTATTATTTGTTGTAAATTTTTATCTTAACTTGCACGGCCCTGTGAAAAACAGTCTGTCATATGTGGGTTGATCAGGCTACCGTGTCAAAATAAATTTAAATTGAATTGAATGGATTCTTTTTCTAGATGAATATTATGCGTTATGCGGAATTGTTGAACCAACAAAACCCACAGGACCTGGTGGTGGCGGCACCCCGTTTCCTCCTGGAGGTACACCTGGAATGGTTCCAATAACAGGTAAAATATCCTCTCTCATGAATCCATTGTATTTAAGCCTGCGTTACACTATCAAAGTTTCAGTGACCACAGTAGGAATTTTGCATACATAGGTAAATTCTAAGTTTTGAAGTACTAGTACTAGATCGAGTATCTTTCGGTCTGATAAAACACGCACTGCAAATGTTTTAAATTGCTTCAAAAACGATCGAACTTACTTGAGTTCATTGGCGAAGTAATTTTCAAACAAATACGTTGTGTAAGTCGAGAAAATCAAAGTTAAAGTTTATGTAAATCAAGGGAAATCTCTATCACATATAAACGAAACGACACGCTTATGATTTTTCTTTGTGTTTTCATCATGAATTATTTTTGAGTTTTTGAAAGATTTGTAAGAATTATTTGAGAGAACTGTTAAGCTGTTCAACACTGATTCAGTTTCCTCAAACATTTCTTGCAAACGTCTTCTTCATAGAGAGCATAGATATCTTATCTAAACTAGATAGCGCATCCCTTTTAGTAAAATTGAAGCCAAGAATATTCCAGCGGTTACCCCCATTTGAATAGATGGCGGCCATGTTGGAGTTTCCCACTCGCTAATAAACGCTAAAAAAACAACAGTAACTTTCATCATTTGAATAGTTTAAAAATGTATTTGGAATAGGTTTAACTTAATGTTTAAGTTCCCTGTTTAAGAAATAGAAAACATATACAAGTCTTCTCATTTCATGGGAATATCCTGAGTCTGCAATCACGGCTTCAATTTTTGAATTGTAGAATAATTAGATGCACTATCTAGTGTATATAAGATATCTATGATAGAGAGACGTCCTCGCATTTTCCTAGAGCTGGAAGCTCTACAGTTAGCTGAAATTGATAATCTAGCCGATAAAAGGAATATGATATGTTAAAAATACATGAATAAAATGAAAAGCACAAATCATCCTTTGCATGCGTTGAAAACTGTAATTATGCGCTTAGAGATAAAGCCGAAGAACTTCTTCGAATTATCATCTTGCCAAATTAGCATACAAAGCAATGAATTGTGATGACTGGCCTTCATACTTAAAATTAGAGGAGTATATTCCTATAAGAACATTACGATCATCATCTGCCCGGCGTCTAGTAGTCCCTGTTATCTCTGGAACCTTCCAAGATGAAGCAGCTCGAGTGTTCAATTCTTTACCTGAAGAAATTCGAAACTGCGATACATTTAAAGATTATTGCAGAAACTCCTCCGAGTACTTTAAAACATTAGTCAAAAACAGAATTAGTGACACGTCGTAAACTCTGTTGATATTGTGTGTATAACTGTACTATATTTTACTGTGTATAAGTAATGTCAATTGTTAAATACTGTAATGTACAACATACTACGTATTGTAATACTTGTTGTGTCGTATTATGTCCTTACTCCGTTGTATGTATTGTATACTTTGTTATCTTATAATCAAACTCACTTGTAGCATAGAAGAGCCACTATGTGGAAATGCTATTAAATCATTATTATTATTATGTACTGAAGAGTTTTTTACCTTAATTATTAGGAATGTTAAATATTATTAACATCCCTAATAGACATTATCTCTTAAATAACTAACATCTTTATCATATTATTGTAAATATAGACTTATACTTTAGATAGATTGTATCAATTTATATTACGATTCTTAAATACCTTTTGAGCGAATGTTGTAAAAGAATATATAACTGGATAATTCAGTTCTTGTTATACTGCGAGAGAGTTTGAATAAACCATTATTATTATTATATGGAATAGCGCAATAGTCTAAATTTCGATTCCTGACCAGTAGCAGACTTGCAACAATGCTGTTTCAACATTTTTATTATTAAGAGTATGTATTTAAATTTTTAGACGTCGATGAATGTTCATTCGTCAAAGATCCCTGTGGTATGGGTGTATGCATGAATACATATGGCAGCTATAGATGTGATTGTGAGGAAGGATTTGCAGTGCAGAATGGAGATCCAATGTGCAAAGGTATTTTTATCCAAATTCAACCATGACAAAGCAATTTTTATCCAAATTCAATCCAATTTTTATCCAAATTCAACCATGTCAAAGCAATTTTTATCCAAATTCAATCCAATTTTTATCCAAATTCAACCATGGCAAAGCAATTGTTATCCAAATTCAGTCCAATTTGTATCCAAATTCAACCAAGGCAAAGCAATTTTATCCAAATTCTGTCCAAATTTCATCCAAATTCAGGCAAAATTTGTTCAATTTGTCCTTGGGCAACGTATATTAGTCCCACAAATTCTCGTATTAATACCGCGCGTTTCAAAACACTCATCAACTCTCATGGAAATTTTGAGAGTACATGAGAGTCGATGAGACTTGGCAGTCAAAGTCGAGCGAGAGTTGCAAATCTCATCCTCGTTTGACCGTGGCGTAACTTTGTATATTATCTGAAATGAGTGATGACACTTTATTGTCCTTTTAGATAAAAACGAATGTTTAGTGAACCCATGTGTTGGCGGTCAGTGTAAAAATACATTTGGTAGTTTCATGTGTACATGTAGTGCTGGTTACATTGTCGATGAAACTGGCCTCAGGTGTGTCGGTAAGTCCACTGTATTTACCTACTTATCCTACATACTTAACTACCTACCTACCTGCCTACCCCTACATACCTACCTACCTGCCCACCTACCTACCTACCTACCTAAACCACCTACCTACCCACCTACTTACCTACCTACCTACCTAAACCACCCACCTACTTACCTACCTACCTACCTAAACCACCTACCTACCCACCTACTTACCTACCTACCTACCTAAACCACCTACCTACCCACCTACTTACCTACCTACCTACCTACCTACCTAAACCACCTACCTACCCACCTACTTACCTACCTACCTACCTAAACCACCTACCTACCCACCTACTTACCTACCTACCAACCCCTTCCTTCCTATCTACCTACCTGCCTACCTACCAGCCTTCCTAACTTCCTACCCACCCACATACCTAACTACCCACCTACTTACCTACCTACCCTCCTACCTATCCCTACCTACCTACCTACCAACCTTCCCAACTTCCTACCCACCCACATACCTACTCACCCACCTCCTTTCCTAACTACCTACCCACCCACCTACCTACTCACCCACCTACCTAACTACCTACATTCCTTACTACCTATCTACCTAAACCACCCACCAAGTCCACTGTATTTACCTACTTATCCTACCTACTTACCAACCTTCCTAACTAACTTCCTACCCACCCACATACCTACTCACCCACCTCCTTTCCTAACCACCTACCCACCCACCTACCTACCTAACTACCTACATTCCTAACTACCTATCGACCTAAACCACCCACCAAGTCCATTGTATTTACTTACTTATCCTACCTACCTACTTGCCTACCTACCTGCCTACCCCTACATACCTACCTACCCACCCACCTACACACCTACCGACCCACCCACCTACCTACCTTCCTAACTACCTATTTACCCACCCACCCACCCACCTACCTAACACCTATCTACCTACCTACTTAACTACTTTTCATATTTCCAATGATTTACTAGATCACAATGAATGTCATCTCAATAATACATGTGTGAATGGAATATGCGTGAATGTAGTTGGTGACTACAGATGTTTATGTGGCTCAGGCTACCAGCCATCCAGAGGAGGCAAGGCCTGTTCAGGTATGAGGCTAATATCCCACTACACTATCTGAAGTATGTTTATAGTGAATATAGTCATATGATCATAGAGCACCATCTTTGTTAAACAGTTGTATTGGTTTTTGAATTGGCGGTAAAGAAGTATCGAACTACTATTAGCTACAGCTAAATTACGGCTGTAGGAATAGTCGATGTAGAATGCGTACTCGTTATGTGATTTATATATTTCGTTATATAATTCAATTTGGCCAGAAGTAAAGACGTCTTGCAACTGGATGAAATTTCTCGTTTTTTAATGACATTTCAAAGTTGAAATACTTTGTATGTGATATTTAGACGTAAATGAATGTTCAAATGGAAATGACAGATGTCCAGATGGAAGATGTGTCAATACACCTGGTTCTTATTCTTGTCAATGTAATGAAGGATTTAGAGAGGATTCCAGGCATATATGTCGAGGTTTGTTCGTCTTTCTAGTCGTTTGTTTGTTTGTTTGTTTGTTTGTTTGTTTGTTTGTTTGTTTGTTTGTTTGTTTGTTTGTTTGTTTGTTTGTTTGTTTGTTTGTTTGTTTGTTTGTTTGTTTGTTTGTTTGTTTGTTTGT